GCCGCCTCCGGCACAAGGAGCCCGGCGGCGGCGGCGGCGGCGGCGTTTACTGGGTGGACTCGCAGCAGAAACGGGTGAGTTGGGGCCCCGGAGGGGTGGTACGGCCGCGAGAGGTAGCCCCGCTCTGGGAAGACTTCTTGGAAGAGGCAGGGAGGGGCCTGGAGCCTCTGTTAAGCTAGCCCAGAGCCCCGATGTCTGCGCCCACGTCGTCGTCTGCTTTAGAGCAGTGATTCCCAAAGTGGGCGCTACCGCCCCCTGGTGGGCGCTGCAGCGATCCAGGGGGGCGGTGATGGCCACAGGTGCATTTGTTTTAACTTTTTTTGTATTACCTTTCTATTCTGAGTTCAATAAATAGTTTCATAATTTCAAACTTCAATGTTTCTAATTTACACCTTTCTTTACTATATTTTACGAAAAAGGTAGAAACATTAATACATATATCTTTCTGTTTAATTGCTATTAAAATTAAAAAAAAATTAATTTCCAGGGGGCGCTGAGTAATATTTTTTCTGGAAAGGGGGCGGTAGGCCAAATAAGTTTGGGAACCACTGCTTTAGAGGGATTGTGACACTGGAACGTGGCCCGAGGAGGACGGCCAGGAGAGCAAGGAGGGTGGAGATCCTGGCCTATAAGGGATGAGGACTGTGAGACATGGTAATTGTCTTCACAATCCCAAAGGCCAGGGAAAACCAGGCTTATCGTCAGGGGCCCCAAAGGGCAGAAGCAGGCTCTGAGTGGATGTCACAGGGAGTTAAATTTCTCTTAGAATAAGGAAGAACTTTTCATAGAGGGAACATTGTTGAACATTGAAGTGGCCTTCCTGATACAGAAGAGGTACGGGATACCAGCTCAAATGAACAGACTATTAGAAGCTGTAAACCTGAGAGTTATATGATGTGGTTGTTTTTCTTTTACTGAAAGTGGTGTACGACCGTTTATTGTAAGATTTGTATTAATTTGTAAATTAGATTTCAAGATATTTACTAAATATCTCCAATGACAAACTTTAGTAACCAGTAAGGACTGGCTGAAGATATCTTCCAAGATACTTGGAAAATGATGGGTCATTTATGGTTTTTCTCTCTGATTTCTTTTGTATTGTAGTATGTCCCAGTGAAAGGAGACCATGTGATTGGCATAGTGACGGCTAAATCTGGAGATATATTTAAAGTCGATGTTGGAGGGAGCGAGCCAGCGTCTTTGTCTTACTTGGCATTTGAAGGTGCAACTAAAAGAAACAGACCAAATGTGCAGGTAATGATAGGAAACTTTGGTTTCAAAAAAGGAAAAACATCCAAATATTCTGAAGGCTACCTGAATGTCTCCAAAGTCTGACTATTTTCCCAGTTTTATAGGATGACCTCCCAGCATCTGTGTGATCACTCTAGGCTACAAGGGTTCCTTATGTTGCTTCAGCTCTGGGACTGGAGTCACGTACTTATGTTACATTTGCTATATTGGGGGTTGTTTAATCTCTATTGAGTTGAAAGGTTTTATCTGTTCTATTGTTATCTGTTTTGTCCACATCCACTGGACAAGGAAGTAAGCCATAGGCTTAGGGAGGAAGGAGGAATACCTGGTAAGTGGTGCAAATTGCCGTATCAGCCATCCATCTTTCCTGATTGTACATCCGGGAACTGTCATCTCACAACTTCAGTCACATCACTGTTTTCCAACAGTCCCTTTTGGTTGTTTCCTCGTTTTCTACTTGGGCTTTTCAGGTAGTGACACTCTTCCTGTCCACCCAAGCCAGAAATTTGGTGGTTTCTTTGCCCCTTATCACTCACCTTTCAGGTGTCTTTTGTTGCTTAATCTTACTAATCTATTTGACTCTATCTTTAAGTCCACCCTGCATCTCCATTTTGCAAGTTCAGGCCCTAGATACCCTTGACTGGAGTTGGCTGATTTAACATCCCTGCCCGTACACTTTAACCCCTCCATCCAGGCACTTGAGAGCCTACAGCCTCTCACACTCCACTTTCTTCAAAGCCTACAGGTTTCCTTGGCATTATACTCCAAAAGTCTTCCCTTTTCCATAATTATATCTCTACACAGCTGTGCTTGAACCACACTGAACTATTTAACAGCAGGACTGAACTCACAGAGCGCTGCCCTTGTTGTTTGCTCATGCTGGTTCTCTGGATTGTTCTATCCCCTTTTCAGCCTGTGGAACACATACTCATATTTTAAGACTCGGGCCAAATACCACCACCTCTATAAAACCATTCCTGACTTGCAATCACTTTTTCTCAGAGCTGCTCTGGCACTGAACTAGATTTGGCTTTGAATGAAGTTTATTGTTTATATGTACATCCCCACTGCCCTCAAGACCAAATACTTATGAAAGGCAGAGAATGTTTGTTTATAGTTCCTATAGTCACCAACTTAACAGGTAAACAAGTTCACTCTCAATGTCTTTAGTTTCATCATTTTGAAGTTCAACTCTTGTGAAGTTTTTAAATCTTGCATGGAGAAGTGTCAATGAATTGCCATTGTTCCATTTTGCTTTGAATAACATGCATGCCAGGAGTTTCTTCTATCCATCTATCTTCTGTAATTCCCTAGAGCAGAGCTACCTAATAGCACTTTCTGTGATGATGCTAATGCTTTACTTCCACAATGATTAGTATGGTAGCCCCTAGCCACACATGCCTGTTAAACACTTGAAATATGGCTAATGCAACTAAGGAACTGAATTTTAAGTATTTAATTTTAATTAATTCAAAAGTGAGTTAAAATTACAATTTGTGGGTAGATGGCTACCACATTGGACAGTGTAGCTCTAGAGGGTATTTATATTTTGGCTTTGTGATGGCTCCCAGTCTAGGGATTTCCTGGTGGGTTAAGGGGGAGGGTACATGTGTTAATGCTGCCTTTGTTTAAGACCCAACTCCAAAGTTACTGTGAATCTTGGTATGTAGTCAGTTCTTTAGCTACAGAACTGTAGGTGGTTGGCCTTGCTGTTATGGGAAATAACGACTATAAAATGGTTACTGTTTTTAAATTATCATTGTAGGTTGGAGATCTCATTTATGGACAATTTGTGGTTGCTAATAAAGATATGGAACCAGAGATGGTTTGTATTGACAGCTGTGGACGAGCCAACGGAATGGGTGTGATTGGACAGGATGGTCTACTTTTTAAAGTGACTTTGGGCTTAATTAGAAAGTAAGTCCTAATGCTTTCTAGCTTCCTGGTCTTTTATAATTATACCTTCTTGGAAAGCCAGCTGATCTTTGGGATTTGGATTCTTTGTAACAACATCTGAATTTCCTCAGAATTAAAAAATCATTATCCATTTAAGCATACTTGTAAACTCAAGCATTTAGTCCCATCCTCTCTTAATGTAAATACATTGTATTCAGATGTACTTGGTGGTCTAGTTTCTGTGTTGATATGGAGTCTGGGCTTCCTCCTGGTTTACTATTTCTTATAGCTGATATACTCAGCCCAAATGTAAAAACTGGCCTTTCTGCCCTGGCCAGGTAGCTCAGTTGGTGAGGCGTCATCCCCTACACCAAAAGGTTGTGGATCTGATTCCTGGTCAAGACACATACCTAGGTTATAGGTTCCATTCCCAGTCGGGGTGCTTAAGGGAGGCAACTGTTTGATGTTTCTCTCTCTCCCTTTCTAAAAATCAATAAAAACATATCCTTGGCTTTGGGTTTTTAAAAATAAAACACATAAAAACTGGCCTTTCCCCCCTATGTCACTTTAATACAGATGTAATTTGTACAAAATCACCAAATTTCTCTAGTAATGGGAGCAGTGCAGGTAGGCTGATGGGATCCTTGAGCTTATGCAGACATTCACAGAAGACTTCTGCTATCTGTCCTGGTAGATTTAATAGTTTCCAGCCCCAGCAGCTCAGTTGGTTGGAGCATCATCCCGTATAGCAAAAGGTGGCTGGTTCAATCCCTGGTCAGGGTACACACTCAGATTGCGGGTTCAATCCCCACTCAGGGTGCGTGCAGGAGGCAACCAATCAATGCTTCTCTCACATTGATGTTTCTCTCCCTAAGAATCAATTCTAAAAAAAGTTCCCAGAGGCAGATTCTGTTAGGTGTTTACACCTTTACCTACCCAAAGCTGTGCCCTGTTAAAGGGTTTTATGTACTTGTAGATCCCGAAGTTCAGAGCTCTCTTGCATGACTCTGCTACTTATTCTGCAGGTTTGGAGAATTAGTTCAGGTTGTTAGAGAAGCATGTTACTAATCAAGCAGCACCCTTGTGGTTTGAAAGAGCTAACACTTCTTTCCAAGTAGTGAATTTAATACCAGGGATTAACTTATATGGTCAGGAAAGTAAGTTTAAGGTGTTCTTTCAGCACTGTAGATAATTTTTGAAAGCTATGGTCCTAAAGCCTAGAATTAAGGTGCTTTGACAGTGCAGGGGAAGAACTTTATATGTTTTTGGTAAAGTTGATGATACAGGGAGTTTGATTTCTTTGTTGAGACTAGCCCACCTGTGACCTGATATACTGATCAGTGTAAATCTTCTTAGAGCAGTGGTTCTCAACCTTGGCTGCACATTAGAATCGCCTGGGAATCTTTTTAAAATCCTGATTTCTGGGCCTCATCCTCCGGAAATTGTTTCTTTGTTACTAATGTTGTGGCCTCACCCCATAACAAAGAAACAGAATTTCCGGAGGATGAGGCCCAGAAATCAGGATTTTAAAAAGATTCCCAGGCGATTCTAATGTGCAGCCAAGGTTGAGAACCACTGTCTTAGAAGAAAAGGGGCAGTAAATGCTGTCATGTGCCTTTAATTATTTGAATGTTAGTGGGGCTTTAACTATGGAGAACTGCCTAGAAAAGGAGTCCTAAAGGAAAGTTAGGTCACACTCTACCACTTCATTAAAATTTCATTTTCTTTCCTTTTCCTCACCAGGCTGCTAGCTCCAGACTGTGAAATCCTACAGGAAGTGGGAAAACTGTACCCACTGGAAATAGTGTTTGGAATGAATGGAAGAATATGGGTGAAGGCAAAAACCATTCAGCAGACCTTAATTTTGGCAAACATTTTAGAAGCTTGTGAACATATGACAGCAGATCAAAGAAAACAAATCTCCTCCAGGTTGGCAGAAAGTTGATCTATGTGGATTTTTTTATAGTTGATCCAAGAGACTGGATTCCCTGGGGAAAAATTTTTCAGGTGGACCTCTCCCCATTAATCTTCAGAAGATAAGATACTGTCTTATGTGAGTCTTAAAATATTTTTATAAACAAGTCACTGGTTGCCACTCATGTTCTTGTGGGTGAAAAAAGTCATAAAATAGTACTATTTTTTCTTTTATAATAAAGTTTACTAAAAGTTAGTATTATGATTTACTTGGTGTTAATTTCCTTAGTTTTGCTGGAAGTAACCATTGAAATAACACTTTTCTGATAATAGTAAAACATGTTCATCAAAGAAAATGTAGAATACATAAAAAGTATGAAGCAGCGAACAAAAATCACTTGAAATCCTATTATGTAGTGGTGAGTATATAACAGCTAACAATTATCATATATTTACAAATCAAGTATTGTTCCAAGTGTTTTGTTTGGATTGACTCATTTATTCTTAGTAACTGCAAAAGACAACTTCCTAGTGCAAGAAACTGAGGCTTAACTTGGCCAACATTCTCAACCACTAATGTGAATATATGTTTTTCAAAATGGAATTATAGAATTATATTTTATATACTAGTCTGTAATATACTTTGTCCACTTCAAACATTTAAATATATTTCTTTCATGATTGCTATTAAAAATTCCATAGTTGTATAATGCTTCATTTTTGTGGTATAGGATATTTTGGATATGTCCAGCTTTTTGTTGTGTTATAAAAAACACTATGATGAGGATCTCTGAATATAAGTTCATCCAAGTCTTATTTTGCCAAGAGTCATTTCCTAGAAGCCAAACAAAAAACTACCTACCTAGGTTTTAAAGAAATTGTAGATGTTTGTGATAGAGTTGAAGAGGAAATTCTATGTTATTTGGAATTTTAAGCAAAGCCTTTTGAGGCCAAAATGAAGCCTGGCAGCTGATCCAGGTCAATGGTTCTTGGGTTAGAGACCTCCCTGAGAATATGGTAAGAGTTACAGACCTCTGAGGTCTATTCATAGAGGTCCTCCCTTTTGGATGCATAGGTTATAGAACTATGTTGATAAAGACCAAGGAACATTATGTACAGTGGGGCCTTGACTTACGAGTGTCCCGACTAACGAGTTTTTTGAGATACCAGCTCTCTCTCGGCCGATTTTTTGCATTGAATTGATAGAGTAATTTGAGTTAATGAGCTCCTTAACGAGCTTGGTCTCAGAACGAATTAAACTCGTAAGTCAAGGCCCCACTGTATTCCTAAAGATGTTTCCTAAAGACTAGGCTGCTCTTAAGTAATCAAGTTCATAGTTCCTGGGGGATTAAATTGTGAAAGGAAGGAGATAGAACCCAGAGGTAACCTTTTGGTTCTTTTGAAATATAGGTTACATTTTTTTCAGTTTGCTAGCAGTTTAGAAATAAGTTGACCGACATAAACTGGCCATAGTAACTGAAGCAACTGTATCTAAGTAGGACATGAGAAAAGGGATCACTGAGATTTGCATCATAAGAGGTTCTCTAACATGCTTGTGTGAGATGCAATGTGTTTTCTTTTTTTAAAAATATATTTTATTGATTTTTTACAGAGAGGAAGGGAGGATAGAGAGAAACATCGATGAGAGAGAAACATCGATCAGCTGCCTCCTGCACACCCCCCTATTGGGGATGTGCCCACAACCAAGGTACATGCCCTTAACCAGAATTGAACCTGAGACTATGTTTTTGCTTTTCAATTTGAACTGATAATTCAGATATATGTGCAAAATCTAGTTTGTACAAGGCTCAGAAGGATACAAAAATACTCCCACAAAGTGTCCCGTAGGAAGGCTACAGTTAGGAAGAGAGAAGCCTTCCACACCCATACTTGGCACAGGGAAGACAAGGTAGGAGCCACAGGTGGGGAAAATTGCTATGGGGGCTTAAAGAGGGTAGGTTAGGACAGGCTGATCCTGAAAAGCACATGTATAGCACATTACTGAGTTAGGGAAAATCAGCATGATCAGAGCAGGTTGGACAAAGTCATACAACTTTATGATGCCACTTTTAGTGAAAATTAAATTCTTGATGTCACAATATTTATTATTGAAGCTACCTCTAAAGAGTAGATTTTTCACAAGTAGATGTAGAAAAATAAATTAACACACCCAAAGCCATGTAGTTTAAGGGCTAATTCCTTGTTATGTAAACTTTTTACTTAGTCAAGATAAACAGGGCACTTCCTGTGAGCTAGGCACTATAGGAGATACAAAAGAGCATAAAATGTGGTCCCTGTTATTAATAACATCCTAATGAAGATCCGAGATGTCAAGTAAAGGCAATTGTGTGCCATCACCACTTTGCTCTCCTCTTTGGTCAAGGCCCCTCCAGCAACTTCACCTCCTGCAGGTGCACTCTTAGGATGTCCATCATTCCACTGAGTTCTGAAGAACATAGCCTTTTCTGGAAGAAACTCCTTTCTTCAATGCTTCAGGCCAGTTTTGAGTGTCAAAGTACGTGGATAGGATATCAAATACTGTTAGAAGGGTAAATAGAAAACACAGTGACCACACACTGGAAAAAAAGAACTAGTAAATGACTAATGAAAAGGGTGTGCTTGAATATTCAACAAACCTACTCTGTACCACACCTGGTATTAGATCCTGGGGAGACAGAGGCAAAGCTACAGGCCCTGCTTGCCCACAAGCACTGCCTACACTGAGAGATGTAGGCGTATAAATGGACAATGCTGCAACAGAGAGGAACACAATACAATGGGAACACAAAGGAAGGGTCCCGACGTGGCCTGGGACGGAGAGGAGCAGCCAAAGTGCCTGTGAACTGAATCCTGAATTCACTGTCAATGATGGGTTAAAGGCAGGGCGTTCTAGGTCAAGGCAACAATTTCAACTGTATTTAACATAGATCGGAATTAGGAAGAAAATGAAAAATAGCTTTGAGAAGCCAGAATACATGCCACAAAGTGCATGCAATAAAGTACAAGCACATCAGTCATGGGGGTAAGCTGCGTCAAGGCCATTCATACTTAGGCATGATGCAAAGAAGCACCAGATTTAATTAACACATTAAGCGTGGGCCGTGTGAGCTGTACCTTGATTGATGGCCAATATCTCTGAATGATAGTTTTTCTCATTCTGGCGTCTGACCATGTATTCCTGGATTGGCAAGCGGGCTGTCTTGACAGAGTGTTCTCGGGCCTTTTGAAATGTCACCTTCTGTAAATAACAGTTAAATATTTTTCTTTTAAAAATAATACATGAAAATATTTTCATGCATAGCAAATTATGAGAATCCCCACTTATCATTCTAATTTCATCTATAATTATAATTAATGATAAATGTATTAAAAAGAAGTAGCCTGTTATCAACCATGTCACCCCAATAAATTCAGTTTAAAAAAGTGAAAAAAGAAAAGTAACCTGCAGATAATTAAGAGTTCAGATAGCCCTAGCTGGTTTGGCTCAGTGGATAGAGTGTTGGCCTTCAGACTGAAGGGTTTCAGATTCGATTCCGGCCAAGGGCACATGCCTGGATTGCGGGCTCAATCCCCAGTAGGGGGCGTGCAGGAGGCAGCCAATCAATGATTCTTATCATTGATGTTTCTATCTATCTCCCCTTCTCCCTCTCTGAAATCAATAAATATATTAAGAAAAAAAAGTTCTGCAGATAATGAAGAGTATTTATTTGTCCCAAGTAAGGAATGGCTTGTGCAGCAACACCTCACCTATTTGGGAGTCATTTATCCATTGTCTTTCACTCACTACTACTTACAACCAGGAAGGAAATAAGTTAGAAAAGGCATATCTATGGTCAAAACTTCAAGCAGTCTAATCAATCAGAGGAGAGCATGCCTGGCCCTAACTCAGTAAGTCCCAATCTGGATATCGAGTTTTCAGCTCATAGCCAATTGGTAGTAGCAAATCAGAAGGGAGACAGGATTCAGGTCAGGTACACCAGTAGCTGCAAGAGAGCATTAGGTGGGAGAGCTAATGCTCTCCTGCTGCTATTGAGGAAGAAGGGCTCTGAAAACTGCAAAAAAGGAATCAAAAGAACTCAAGAAGTCCAATAATCTGAAGCCATGTTGGGTCTCATTTAGAGAAAAATTACTAATGTCCCTTTATTTTTATTTATTTATTTATTTATTTTAGATATATTTTTGATTTCAGAGAGGAAGGGAGAGGGAGAGAGAGAAACATCAATGATGAGAGAGAATCATTGATTGGCTGCCTCCTGCACGCCCCCCACTGGGGATCAAGCCCACAACCTGGGCATATGCCCTGACCGGGAATCGAACCGGTGACCTCTTGGTTCCTAGGTCGACGCTCTACCACTGAGCTACACCCGGCTTGGCTATTAATGTCCCTTTAAAAATGTCCCTTCCCTAGCCGGTTTGACTCAGTGGATAGAACATTGGCCTGTGGACTGAAGGGTCCCTGGTTTGATTCCGGTCAAGGGTACATGCTCAGATTGCGGGCTTGATCCCCAGTGTGGGGCATGCAGGAGGCAGCCAATCAATGATTCTCACTCATCATTGATGTTTCTATCCCTCCCTCCCTCTCCCTACCTCTCTGAAATAAAAGTACATTTTAAAAAACAAAAAGGTGTATATAAAAAAATGTCCCTGAACCATGAACTGAAGTTTATATTTGCTACCTTATAAGAAGCTGGAAAGGTACCTTTTTGCAATTCCAGGGTTCAAGGGAAAGATTTAGATTACTGGGATAATAAACATACTCAAGTCTGGAAGGGACCTCAAGAGTTAACTATTCTCCTCCAACCACATTGATTGGTTGCCACTTTGCACATGCCCCAACCGAACCAGGACCAGAGATCGAGTCTGCAACTAAGGTATGTGCCTTTGACTGGAATCGAACCCATGACCCTTCAGTCTGCAAGCCAACCACTGAGCAAAATCAGCTAGGGCAGGAAATTCTTGATATTGAGCCAGTTTTCTGTTGTTTTTTTCTGAGACTTCCACTCATTTGTCTAGTTCTACCCTCCCAGGGCCACAGCAAGCAAGTAAAATGGCCCTTCCACAAGGCAGTCATTCAGATACTTCAAGTAGGATCATGCCACTATGAATCCTCTAGTCTCCAGATTCATAGTCTCAGTTCTGTCAACTTCCTTGACTATGACTTAGTTTTGAGTCCCTTCGTCATTCAGGTCAACCTCTCCTGAACTTGTGTTAGCTTATTAATGTCCTTTCATTGACGGTCCCATAATTGGGCACCTAAGTATGGTCTAACCAACTGGAACAGCATGAAGCAGGCCTAGCACCTTCTTTGTTCTGATACCTGGACTACACGCCTCTCAGACTCACATAAGACACAGTTCCAATAGAGAACTTCCAAAAATGTTTTAAGTAATGTGATTCGGATGGAATAAGGGTACAGCTATTCAAAGGACTTCTTTGAAGGACAACACTCCTTGTATATATGAGCTATGATTGCTTTTTTTTTTTTTGAAAGTCTATTCCTTTTTAATCACTTTGAACTAGAGTATAGAATTAAAAGTTAGCAGGAGACTTGGATGCTGCCCTGGAGGAGACTACTGTCTAGTGTTTGTTCTCTGAACATTTAAAGATAAAATGAATCCTCTCGAAGAGACATTTTTCTTAGCATTTTTCTAAGAAGCCAAATTCCAGCAACAACCAAAAAGTTCCGTTCATCTGACAAATCTCTGTGCCACTTATTTTTCAGTTTAAATGTTGGTGGAGAAAGAAGGTAAGATGCTGTGTCAAAACTACATCTATAGCTCATACTCACTGATCCTTAGACTTTGCTGCCTCCAAAAAGGGGCTGTCACTCTGCTGTGGGAGACAGCATTTAACTGTTGTCTTTTAATCTCCTTTAAACTAAAACAGCCCCCCCCCCACTCCAACTATTTTAGTTTTTATTATTACACTGGCTTTTTTGAAAGTCTGGCCCAGTTCTCTTGCATAATGTCTCACATTCTAGATCTGTTTCCTCACGATTAAATTAAATTTAAACATTTTCTAGTAGGAATACTTTTCAGGTGAGATTCCATCTTATCAGGAGGTACCTAATGTCACTATTGGTAATTCTAATTTTGATCACTTGGTTAAGATGGTGACCTCCATGTCATTTCATTGCAATGGTACATTGCAATTTGTGGGGTGATACTTTGAGACCATGTGAGTAGTCAGTTTCCCCCAACCTTTTGTTCAATCAATCCCTGAATCAACGATTGCCCTAGCAGTGACAAAATACTGATTTCTGAATTCTAAGCATTTCTCATTCTTAGCTGGCATTCTTAAGAGTCCCCCTGCCATTTTTTAAAAAAATATATTTTATTGATTTTTTACAGATAGGAAGGGAGAGGGATAGAGAGTTAGAAACATCGATGAGAGAGAAACATCGATCAGCTGCCTCCTGCACACTCCCCACTGGGGATGTGCCTGCAACCAAGGTACATGCCCTTGACCGGAATCGAACCTGGGACCCTTGAGTCCGCAGGCTGACGCTCTAACCACTGAGCCAAACCGGTTAGGGCCCCCTGCCATTTTTTTAGATTATCACTATGAAGTCAGAGAACAATGACTATTTTAGAATAAATGCAATTCAGTTAAATATCATCTTGTTAAATATGTGTGCATCTTATACATATATGAAAAAATATATAAAATATGCTCATGTGAAAAACATATATATATATATGCAGATATCAAACAGATACTTGTGTGATCATAGACTATCAAGGGATACACAAGAAAACTGGTTTTCTCAAATGTGGACACTGGGGGACAAGGATTGGAGGGAGACTTATTCTCCTTTTTATACATTTTAACTATTACATCATTCTTTATTATCTATGCAATGCTAATTAGAAAAATAAACAAAATTATCAAAAAATATTTATATACTAGAAACACACTGAAAAACTCCAATTATGCCAATACAATTCCAATTCAACAAAAGAAATCTGGACAAGTACTATTGAGGTTGAGCTTATAAGACTTATGTCAGCAGGGAAGATGGGCTAAGAAGGAGCAAACTACTCTTTCACCAAGAACATACAGCTAGTAAGAATGCTGAGGCAATACTTCCTTGGTCAAGATCAGAGCTATTCTTACAGAAATGAAGAGAGGAGAGGAGAGGAGTTCCACAGTGGCTACTGATGTAATTACCAAACGTTCCCATCCTGGGTTCTGTCAGGAAAGCACTGCTTACATTGCTGAGGAGGAGAGAGTGAATTTCACACGAGGAAGGGCCAACTCAGGCAGAATAGGCTCCTTCTTCTTCTTTTAAAAAAATATATATTTTATTGATTTTTTACAGAGGAAGGGAGAGAGATAGAGAGTTAGAAACATTGATGAGAGAGAAACATCTATCAGCTGCCTCCTGCACACCTCCTACTGGGGATGTGCCCACAACCAAGGTACATGCCCTTGACCGGAATCGAACCTGGGACCTTTCAGTCCACAGGCCAATGCTCTATCCACTGAGCCAAACCATTTAGGGCTCCTTCTTCTTATTCCCTTAGTGTTTCTAGGCCTTTTGGGTAAGATTATTACAGGGTAGGTGCCTCTACAAGTAAGGACCATTTTTCAGAATACAGTTTTTCAGCCAAAAAATGTACACTTACCTTCTGAATGCTTTCGTCCACAAGTCCACCAAGGATGTAAACTGTGTTTAGATCAACATCTTCAAGAGCTAGTGAAGAAATGAAGGCTAATGAGATCAAATCTTTATAATTTCTAAATCCAAAGAAAGTAAAAGGAAAGAATGATGAAAGTAGGAATTTCATGAAATAGAAAACAAAGATAGATTTTCTAATCCTCTGGAAAAACAATTAAATAGATAAACCGCCCTAACCGGTTTGGCTCAGCAGATAGAGCATCGGCCTGCGGACTGAAGGGTCCCAGGTTCGATTCTGGTCAAGGGCATGTACCTGGGTTGCGGGCACATCCCCAGTGGGGGGCGTGCAGGAGGCAGCTGATCGATGTTTCTAACTCTGTATCCCTCTCCCTCTCCCTTCCTCTCTGTAAAAAATCAATAAAATGTATTTAAAAAATAAATAAATAAATAGATAGATAAACCTTTGGCATATCTTATCAAGGTAAAAAGGTAGTAGACTCAAATCAACATTAGGATTCAGGAAGGAGACAAAATTAAAATTACAAAGGAATGTGAAATAAAGAATATGAAGATCAACTTAATATCAATAAACTTGAAAATTATGTGACATAGATGATTTTCTAAAATAGATGATATATATCTAATTGATCCAAAAGGGTCAATGGAGGGAGCTGACCAGGGAAACTAGCTCGATACAATGCTACATGATCTGTGCAGTCAAGAACATACCATGTTCTGAGTCAGGAGTCAGGTACACAAGGGTTTCCAGGGGGAATACACTAAAGCAGTCATCTTCTGTTACGTCTAGCTGAAAAATACGAATAATCCAATGTACTGTGAACTAGGTTAAGACATAGCCCACGGTGCAGCAAGGGGCTCTATGTCTGACAACCTGTTCTTAGAAAGGGCTCAGCTGGGGAGGGGACGTAGAAAGGCACAGACATGCAACCCTACGAAATGAGGCAGAAAGTATATGGGGCCCTAAGAGACATACAGGGAGCATACCTCAGGACTACGGATGAGGGAGGGACACCCCCAGAGACAACCTTGTAGCGAAGGGAATGCTGGAACTGGGTTTCTGAAAAGAGGTGAGACTGACACAACAGGAAGAAGGACTCAAAGTGGAGGGAATCATACTAAGAAAGGCATGGGCAAGGGATTACATGGCCCTGAGATTGGGTCTCTTTGGTTCACATGCAGGAATCAACAAACATGTACAGAAGAAAGTAAGGCTGGAAATGGCTGCACTACGGGAGGGACTGTTAAGACAGTAACAGCAACCATGACTGATTGTGCAGCACTGCATGGGGCACTCTTCACACTCATCGCCTCCATGGACCTCCCTGGGAAAGGCCACACTGCCCAGTCTCAGCTACACAAGGGCATGTTTAGTGGCATTTCTTAGGAACTGATCTGGATTCTTGCCTGTATGTCAATCACTACACGTATGAGATCCCATTGAAAGTTGAAAAGCAACTTGGTATTCCCTAAAACTCATCTTAAATCCATATTACTTCCATAAGGATTCTTTCTCTTCCTCCAAAACTGTTTCCTAATTCTGCATCGCCGAGAACAAGAAAGGACTCATGGCATTTCCCCAAAACATCCCTGGAGTACACAGTCTACATACATTATAGAGGACACAAAATACAGTCCTATATACTTTTTGCCAACATGGTGGAATGAAGAAAAAATTTAAATATAAGAACTGATAAGTGGTTCTTAAATTTTAAAAAAGTTTTTTAGATTGTAATAATGAAAACACAATTTCTCAAAACATGAAAAAGTAAAAAAATTACCCCACAACCTATTTATAGATGACAATTCAAATAATATGCAAAATGAGGCTTACCAGGTAACTAGAAAAGCCATCATTCATCCTCAAACACTCTTCATACAGGGGACTGTCTGTTGTGAATCCAGTGAGGCAGATCCAAAATGGCCTGTCAGCTTTCTTATTCGAACCATACAACCTTCGGATCTGTCCAGCCAGCCTGCTTAGTTCCTTCAAAGAAGTAAGAACAACTTAGGGTGGACACATGCCCTCTTTTTCTAAATTCATTGTCAATAAATGGTTACTCAGTAAGTTCACTGAGTGCTACTCTGGAAAATCTCATGAACTAGAATGACCCCCTTCACTCCGGAAGTGAGTACATGCATGTGTGAGTACGCATTACACCCCTGGTATCACCTTATAGATGACAACTGAGGTGATGATACTAGCCAAGAAACAGTGAGTTAATGGGAAAACTGAGACCGCCCCCTCCTTCAGGACCTGTCGTTACATATCTAATATGATATATGAAATTGTTCTTTTAGCTTTTATCTAAAATCTTACCATGTGATGTTTACTATTTATTAAAGAGAGGTTAGATTACTATGCAGACATTTTTATACTCCATCAAACAAACTTGGCACCTTCTCCCTTACTCTAGGAGATGTAAAGGATTGGGAGTTTTAACTTTCCATCCTGATTCAGAAGACCTCACAATCTGGCCTGCTTTTGTTCATAGCGGAGAAAAGGCTTTGAGTTTGATTTAATCTGGTATCTCAATAGAAACAGTAGAAAATCCTTGGTTGACCTTTTCAGAGGGCTGTAGTTAGAGATTCCTACAAATCTTCAGTTTTCCTAATATCTCAGAAAAACAGGCAAACCCTAGCATATCTATACTAATAAAAGGGTAATATGCTAATTAGACCGGGAGACCTTCTGGACATCCTCCCAGACAAAGCCATGGTGGCAGGGCCGAGGCAGAGGCGGTTAAGGGCGATCAGGCCAGGAGGGGAGGGCAGTTAGGGGCAATCAGGCTGGCAGGGGGGTCCAGTTGGGGGTGAGATGTATCTACCCTAAAGTGAAGTGTAAATGATTAATAAAGTTAAAAGTGTAGTGTAATAATTTCCAGGAGCATTTCTATTTTAAAATAACTGAAAATGTTAACATGGAATAATTATCTATACTAATAAAAGGGTAATATGCTAATTAGACCAGGAGACTTTCCGGGAGACCTTCCGGACATCCTTCCGGACAAAGCCATGGTGGCGGGGCCAAGGCAGAGGCAGTTAAGGGAGATCCAGCCAGGAGGGGAGGGCAGTGGGGGGTGATCAGGCTGGCGGGGGGGCAGTTGGGGGTGAGCAGGCCGGCAGGGGGGGTCAGTTGAGGTGAGCAGGCCGGCAAGGGGGGGCAGTTGAGGTGAGCAGGCCGGCAGGCAGAGTGGTTAGGGGCAATCAAACAGGCAGGCAGGTGAGCGGTTAGGAGCCAGCGGTCCCGGATTGCGAGAGGGATGGCCGACTTCTGGTTTAGGCCCGATCCCACCAGCAGTCAGACATCCCCTGAGGGGTCCCAGATTGGAGAGGGTGCAGGCCGGGCTGAGGGACCACCGACCCCCTGCCCTACCACTAGTACTAATACAACAGGGGTATTAGAAAATAGAAAAATTTGTTTTGTAGGTTAAGGCCTAAAATTAAGGCCCAATAAGGTTTGCTGCCTTGACATCTAATGAAATTGGGTGAGCCTTGAATGGCCCAACTGCAAGTTCCTCTTCCAAATCTGCTCCCACGGATAAGGTCCCATAGCTACCAATCCTTTTTATCTAAGGGACGAGGTGTAGTTCCTGATTATCCCTGATCAGTGGGTTTAATTCCCTGCCAGCCCACAGAATTATTCCAACAATCAATCCCATCTTCCTGCAGGAAGCAGGGGCACCCACCCTCTTGATACTACAGAGCCTGCCCCCACAGTGCCCGGCTGTTCATTCTGTTCCCATGTGGCCCTGCATGGCATGCAATGCCATCCTCCCCCAAGGCTGAGTATATCTATATATATAAAAGCCTAAGCGACTGTTACAACCAAACGACCGAAATGACTGGAACGACTGGTTGTTATGATGTGCACTGACCACCAGAGGGAAGACGCTCAACGCAGGAGCTGCTCCCTGGTGGTCAGTGCATTCCCACAGCCAACCTCCCCCTGCTGGCCAACCTCCCGCGGGTGGTGGCGGCAGACGCGGCCCCTTTCACAGGAGGGCCTTGGGGCTGGTTTCATCCCTCCCTCCCCTCAACTGGCCTGCCACCACCCACCATGGTGGCAGCACAGCAAGTGAGGGAAGGAGGGGGGGAGAGGTGTGAACCTCACAGTGGCGGAGCGCCAACGGGGGCGTTGGTGTCCGTTCCTTCTGCACCTAGCCCGTCGCTTCTTCTCCCAACCCCGCTGGAGCCTTTGGGCCCCAATTGGCCTGGCTCCGATCGGCCCTGATTGCCAGCCAGGCCTAGGGACCCCACCCGTGCACGAATTTCGTACACTGGGCCTCTAGTGTGACTAATAAACTGCGCTTCATCTTATCTGTTCAGTGTTGAGTGCCATGTGTTCAGCCATCCCCAGAACACCAGAACCTGTAGGGTGAATGGGAGATCACTAAAACACATACATTGCAGGAAGACATGCTACCAGGTTATCTCCACACAACACAGAACCAGGCAAATATCCCTCTCCCCAGCAGAAGGCCAAAGATTTCATCTCTGGAGAACTGAAACTGAAAGGCTGTAACTAGACTGGGGACACTGAACACAGAGGCAAAGGGTTGATCAGGAATTTGGAAACTAGTGGATGTTCTACCTTCTTAGACATGTGGTGGGTCATACTTAAATCGATACAGAGTCTTGGTCCTGAGTGTTTGGCTTCCAAAAGTTTCTCCTTGGTTAAGGATCTCAGAAAACGTTTGCTGTGCTGGGGGTAGATGCCTAGAGTGGAAATAGCAGAAAAAATATATAAGTGGGAAAACAGAGGAATAATATTCAGTAAGAAACAAATCTCCCCAGCTAGATGAGTACTATTTGCACGGGAAGAGAAACTAGAAACTTGAAGTTTGTGCCAGGTATTCATTCATCAGGCAGTTGAGGTATAGCAGAGAGGTGATGACTGTGGGCTCTGGAGCACTCTGCTGGGTCTAAATCTAAGTTCAGTTTGTTCATTTATTTCTCGTATCAGCTTAAGCATGTTATTTAATTTCTCTGAGCCTCAGTATTTTCACCTACAAAATGGGGATAATAAAAGACCTACCCTTTAGGGTAGTCAAGGTAAAATTCTTAGCACTGAACCTAGCACATAGCTGTTGGTACCATTCCTTCTACTTCTGAGCTTATACACACATATGTACGCTATATAGTTTACATCTGAAAGGCAGACTTCAATTTTGTTTTCTTTGATACTTTGATTTCCAACAAAATAGGACTATGGGTCTCACCTCCCAGATGTTTGTTTTTACTTAAAAACAGTATTAGTATTCTTCTAGGAACATACAGATACCAATTTGCTAACAAATAAATATAATTATACCAACAACCTGATTAATTGTTACCTGAATTTTCTGTACGATTGGCTTTTCTTCTTTCTTTTTCTTGCTTTCTTTTGCTCTTCTTTGCTGCAACTATCTTTTCCCAGTGTCTCTGTTTTCTTTGGACATTTTTCTTAGGTTATCCAGAAAACAAAATTGTTTGAAAACTTCATAAGCACCAAAAAGGAAAATGAATATTAGAAACAGTTACTTATTTTTTTAAAATTTAGATATAAAGTTAGGAGAGAAAAAGGATGGTAGATTTAACAACAGAGATGGACTAGATTGTGTTTAGAGAAAGCAGAGCCCCAGAAAGACATGTGACCTGTCAGGCCCAAAGAAGAGTTTGGATGTTCTGACCCTTCTGAGGTGTATCAAACATACCTCTTGATCTGAAGCCTTAAACCGGTTAGCAGGGAATTCAACCCTTGGGATACACCAAACTCACTCCCAGTCTTCTTGCTACCAGTGTCTACCCATAGAATAAGGGTCTCTGGGACATTCCATCATCTCACAGCCCATGGCCACCCACTGCACTCACTGAGCACCAGGTGGCACTGTCCGTGGGCAGGGTCTCCCTCTCCTGAGGCTCACATTCCACACCCATCTGTAGAAGCTGGAAGCTTTCAGAGATGCCATCTTCGCCTGTGTCCTCTGGGATGACTTCCTGCTCCTGCAGCACGTGTGACTCTGTTTTCTGAGCACTCCCTTCCGATTTCCAGTCCATGTGCTTAGCCCTCTGTCCTTTCACCCAGATTGGAAAAGGCACAATTATGTGAGACATTACATTATTGCACTTACAGAGGTATTCCCCTACATCCAAGGGACAGACAGCGTTATTGTGTTACTGAAGGAGAAGTGTGTAAAATATTAACATGGGTTTATTGAAAAGTACGTGTGTCTTCCAGAGAAATGAGTCAGCACCGAAACGCTTCAGTAGTAAGGGAGCCAAATCCACTTCTCAGAACACAAGCACAATCCTGACACCTCCCAGCAACCGGTGACTCACTGCTGCGGTGACACAGAAAACCAAGTTATTTATCGTGTTCTTTGAAATCCACTCATGAGTTGAGGGTGGGACAGAGATGGCAAAAGCCACCTCCCCTCAGTTTCAGTTTATTTTCAAAACCATTCCTTTATGATGAAAAGCAAGTATTTATTGAGTACCTACTATATGCAAAGTCCTGGACATCCTTGGAGGATGAAGAGTGAGCCAAAAAATATGGCAAAGAGTGGCCCCAAACCAACCAAGGATCCATCTAGGTTGCTGCTGGTGATCTATCAAAATTTGTTTTTCCAAATTACGTATTCATTCCCTCATCTCAGTTCAGTATCATTGCAGCAGAAAGCCACAGTCACCAGTGAGAATGTTTAATATCCCTCGAAGTGCTAAGGCAGAAAAATATAGAGAACCACTCTAATAGCACTCCTAATGAATGTCACAGTTTCAAAGTGGTATTCACTATCCCTAAGATGAGTAAAAATGCTCTAGTCTACAGTTGTCACAAAGAATGGTATGACCCTTGCTCGTGGCGGCTCCTGCGTCCATGTGCTACCACCAACTTAGAAAAAGTGTTACTTTTGAACAAGTAAATCTATGTAACATGACCCACATGGTAAAAAGATTTTTATGATAAAAGTCATGATCCTCATTCTGACCCTTTCCACCTCTAGAGGCAACTCTTGTTAACCAGGCATTTTTAGTTCTGGTGATTAGCCCCTTAACCTGAAATCACATGCTTACACCATTACTTCTTGATTCATCAACTCTGAATTTTATCAATTCCCTATGAAACACTAGAATTCAAATACTGAAATTAACCCCTTTTGCCCTGGCCAGTGTGGCTGTTTGTTGGAGCATTGTCCTTTGCACCAAAGGGTTTGGGTTCAATTCCTGGTCAGGGCACATACTCAGGTTTCGAGTTTGATCCCCAGTTGGGGCACGTACGGGAGGCAACCGATAGCTGTGTGTCTGTCTCTCTCCCTCTCCCTTCCTCTCTCTCTGAAGTCAATAGAAACATATCCTTGGGTGAGGATTTAAAAACAAAATTAACCCCATTTTATTTTTTGTTTCTGTTAGTTTTCTTAATCTTAAATTTTTTGAGCCATAATTTATTTACAGTAGAGAGATTTTTAAGATTTGAAACTTATGTTCATTTTCTTGCCTAGGCTAGAGTTTACTTTTGCTTAAAACTCTGTTCTTTAATAGTCAGTACACAGTTTAGTATATGTATATATACCATTGACTGTGTCACTATGAGTTTATGGCATACAAAAAATGTAATAGTGTACATAATAATCTAGAGAAATTAGGAAAATACCAAGTTATTCTTAAACATTTCAGAAGCACTGTACTGTTCACATAGGAATAGTGATGTTAGTTATAAATATCTTTTTTAACAAAAGATATCCAGCCCTAGCTGGTTTGGCTCAGTGGATAGAGCGTTGGCCTGCAGACTGAAGGGTCCCGGGTTCGATTCTGGTCAAGGGCACATGCTAGGGTTGTGGACTAGATCCCCATTAGGGAGTGTGCAGGAGGCAGCCAATCAATGATTCTCTCTCATCATTGATGTTTCTATCTCTCCCTCTCTGAAATCAATAAAAAAAAATTTTTTTTAAAAGATACCTAGCTCCCTCCAGATGACTGAACAAACTTTGTATGCCACCATCAGTGTCATCTGCATTTTTCTGCACTTAGGCATTCAAAAAAGAACAAACGAAAACTTTAAAATAAACTGGTCCAACACCTAACAACCTGAAAACAAATTTGTTAAATGAATGCTAGTTTGTTAACAGCCATGTGATCTCTTCCTCCTCTGAACTCCACAGTATTTTGCATTCTTATCTGTGTTTGTCTATTCATTTAGTCAGTAAATATTCATTGGCCCTAGCTGGTTTGGCTCAGTAGATAGAGTGTCAGCCTTCGGACTGAAGGATCCCGGGTTCAATTCTGGTCAAGAGCACATACCTAGCTTGCGGGCTCAATCTTCCTCCCCCTTCCTCTCCTAAATCAACAAAAATATATTTAAAAGAGACCCACCTCAGAACAAAAGACTCACACAGGATGAGAGTAAAGGGATGGTAAAAATTTAAAATAAATAAATCAATATTCATTGAGCTCCTCCTCTGTGTCAGGACCTTTTGGGGAATGACTGGGAGGCAATGAATGTCCTCACTGGAGAAGTCTTCTTGAGGAGAAAACAGAGATAGGGGTGAAGTAGCGGGAGGGGCTGCAGTTTTCCATTGCTGTTTTAAAAATTGGAAGGTTAATGCTCATCATTTTTTTTTAGGTTCTTTATAGATTTATTTATTTTTTAAATATATTTTATTGATTTTTTTACAGAGAGGAAGGAAGAGGGATAGAGAGTTAGAAACATCGATCAGCTGCCTCCTGCACACCCCCTACTGGGGATGTGCCCGCAACCAAGGTACGTGCCCTTGACCGGAATCGAACCTGGGACCCTTGAGTCTGCAGGCCGACTCTCTATCCACTGAGCCAAACCGGTTACGGCTAGATTTATTTTTTTACTATGGTTTTCTGTTAGTTTGCATATATTGAATGATCAATAAATTAAAGCATTAAAGGGACAGGGTAAAGCTAATCAGCATAGAATTGGCCTAAAAACTATAATTATGAAATATAGAGGAATTACTTAACATATTTTTTCCAAACATTTTTAAAATAAGCTGTTAATCAGAAGTTATGAATGCTCATCTTTTTTCTCCTACCAAACTGAATTCTTTTTCAGAAGGAACCATGTAACTACATCTACCTAAACAATGAACAGTTTGAAAGATCTTTGAACAGCAATGTTTAAATAAATATTCGCTGAATAAACAGAGTTTTACTACCCCTGCCTCCATTTCCTTCTTCTGAACAGTTCAAAAAATCTTTGAACAGCAATGTTTAAATAAACACTCGCTGAATAAACAGAGTTTGTTTTTTTTTAATATATTTTATTGATTTTTTAATTCCTACCCCCACTCTTTGTATCTCTGACCTCTCTGAATTCCTATAGTCCCTGGGAATGCTTTTCAGACCAGGAACGTGGGAGATAGTGATCTTGAAAATCAAATGAAGGCAATTCCAACCGCTACCAGAAGAGTCTGTAACACAGCAGGTTGGGCATTCCTGAGGACAGGGACCACATCTTGTTCATCTTTGTATCTTCACTAGCTATCACAGGCTTGCCGCAGAACGGAAGCTCAGTGAATAGTGAGTCGAAGCTTACCACCTAGTGATCCTTAGGGCATCACGGAAGCACAGATCTATCAATTCATGTGAGACGTTATGCCCACATTTAGCATTTCATTTCTTCATTAAAAAAAAAAATGTTTTCTGAGCCTCATTACGGGTCCAGTGCTGGGTACTGAGGTTACTCAGTTAATTACTCATTTAACAAACAGTTAAGCACTTGACTTCATAGCACTTGCTGAGGATTCGGGGTTGATACTCACTCTGTCTTCGTGGGGCTGCAATGATCTGACTCAGCCTTGTATGACAGCTGGTCTGCCTGTTTCCCCACCAGATTACAAACACTTGCAGAGAAGAGAGGATGAAGAATTCACGGGCACACTCCCAGCACTCAATACGGAGCCTTGCAAAATAAAAGCATCCTATGGGATTGATAATCATCACTCTTCTGCTCAGCACCACTCTGGACCTCCATTTCACTTACGGTAAACAGCCAAAATCTTTACAATGGCCTGTACTGATCATTAAGGTCTACCGCCCCCGTCTACTGTCCCCTGCCACCTAATCTACTTGCCGATCCTCAAACATACCAAGGATACGCTCACCCCAGGGCCTTTGCCCTTGCTGTTCTCTCTACCTCCAATATTCTTCCTCTAGTCGAGGTAATTATGTAACTACATTTCTCACTTCATTCAGATTGTCACTATCCAACGTGGCATATATTTTACTTAGTTTTTGTGGGAGCGTCCCCATTCTTACAACGTAACCAAGCGTTCTGCTTGCTTTGTTCACTATTGTATCCTTATGCGTAGAAAGGGGCTTGGTACATAGTAGATGCTCAATGAATACTCGCTAGCTGAATTAATGCATCCACTTTCTCAATAGCCAGCTTCCCTGTGTGAAGCATCCTCAGTCCTGGCCTGCCCCCCCCCCAACCCCCCATCTCCGAGTTTTCTAACTCAAGTCCCACCTGATGAGCATATCCCTGGGCACTTAGTGAAGGACCAACCTCTGCTGGCATGCTCCTCTCATTTTCTCAATCTAAATTTTAGTCCACGGAAGCTGCTCCCCGCCTCTGGCATCTTTAGACCCCAGGCCCAAAGGTACCCCGCCTGGCCCATAGGCTGCGAGAGCGAGGGGAGGCAGGAAGGGAAGGCACCAAGGTGCGGGACACCAGGCCACACACCTGTTAAACGCTGTTTCCCCGGCGTCTTCCCTGTCCGCAAACGCGGCAGCACTCAGGGGCCAGACCCCCAGGCCCCCAGAACCCCAGGCCCTACCCGCCCCGCCACCAGCCCGGGCGTACCTGATCCCAGCACCTCACGCAGCCGCAGGGCACGTCAGGCCCCGCCTCCTGGCCCACTTCCGGTCCCTGCCCCTTTCCGAACGGCATTCTGGGAGTTGTAGTTTTCGGCCTCGGTGTTCAAGGGCGTGAGCGGAGGTTTGGGCTTCCTAGCCTCACCCAGGCACTAGGGAGCTCGGTCGCGCCTCTCTGAGCCTGTTTCCCCGACTGATACACGGGATTACAATCCCAGCTGCTTGCAGACCGACAGGGCTGCTGCAGGTGATCAGGCGCTTTAATGGCTATCAAAGACTGGACATTGTGAAACAGGGCTGAAACCAGACTTAAACCACCTCTCATCTCGCCAGCCTAGGGGCTTTGCCCGTCTCTGAGCTTCCCCACAACCAGCAAGGCCCAGGAGCTGACACAGCCCTTCCCTGAGCACACATTCCCCTTCATCGGTGCTTGTCTGTCCAGGCTCACAAGAGAGATATCCGGGCCGGAGCACATAAGGAGTCAGTGGGGAAACTGAGGCTCAGAGGTCTGAAGTGACTTGCCCAACCCTTGTCCTGATAAAAGCTATCAGCCATTCTTTTCTTTATTCCTGCAGTCCTAGGGGTCTCACCCTTTCAGAGAGACCCTACCATGAATGAGCTTGAAATGTCTCCCACCCAAGAAACCACAGCCCTGTTTGGATTCCTTCTTTGGTGCTACCGCTCTAGACTTTTATTTCCTCAGCAACTTTCACCCCATCCCCAAGCCATGCTCCAATTCAGCCTTTATCTGGGACTGGAGCAATTTTTAAATGCTGACTAAACATCCCTCCCTCCCCCAAAAAAGGCTTTTTCTAAAACCTAACTCTAATGTCTCTTCTCTACCTAGAAGCTGGACCTAGCTTCCCACTTAGCAGGGCTTGCAAAGTGGCTCAAATGGTCTTCAGTGCCTCCCACCACATCGACGCCTTGCACTCAGCCATACTGAATACCTTTTGCCCCTCTCTGCCACTGCTCTTGTGTCTCTTTACTTTTGAATGAGTTCGTGGCTACTTCCCCACAGCAAAGGCCTCCTAGCTGGTTTCACTGCCTGCTCCCCCAGCCATCCATTTGCAGACCCCTCAGTGGCTTTCTATCATACTTCGATGTAAAATCTGACCTTCCCAAGGCCTTGCACAGCCTGGTTCCTGGCTGCCCCTCCAACCTCATCTGTCACTCTTACTCCAGCTTGATGTGTTCCAGTCACACACGTCGTCTTCTTCTTCTTCTTCTTCTTCTTCTTCTTCTTCTTCTTCTTTTTAAATTGATTTCAGAGAAGGGAGAGGAAGAGATAGAAACATCAATAATGAGAGAGAATCATTGATTGGCTACCTCCTGCACGCCTCCTATTGGGGATCGAGCTGCTGCAATCCGGGCATGGCCCTGACTGGGAATTGAACCGGGATCTCCTGGTTTATAGGTCGATGCTCAACCACTGCGCCACACTGGCCGGGCACACCTGTCTTCTTGAAATGCTTCAAACACACCAAAGACCTTTGGAGATACTGTTCCCTTTTCTCTCACTTTCTCCATGGCTGGCTCCTTCGTATCCTTTAAGCTTCAGCTTAAACATTCTTCCTTCAGAGGGCCTTGGCTGATCACTCTAGGTAAGCTTGGCTCATCCCACCCCATCTTGGCATTCTCTTCATTTTCTTTATACCACCTGCCAGTCAGGCATCTTTTTCTTCTGTGTCTTTATTATAAGTTCCTTGAGGGGACTATATCATGTCGATGATTGTATTCCCAGTGCCACTACACAGTAAATATTTGTTGACAGAATAAACAACGGAGTGATTTTTCTCTTTTCTTGACACATCCAAAACTTATCTTCCTATCTATCAAATCTAGGGCATGGCACACAATAGCTACTCAAAAATATGTCCTGACAAACCAGTTCTAATTAATGCTGCCTCCTACAGGAAACCTTCCCTGATCACTCTTCTGCTCCCACCCAACAATGACTTCTCTCCTTTAAGCTCGCATACACTTTATCTGTTCTCTTTGGTTGCCCTGAGCATTACATGCCTTATGTTGTAGGTCTCTATTTCTACATGTCGTTTTATCTCTTGGACCAAGAATACTTGAAAACAGGATCTCTCCCAATTATTTACATCCCTAATCCTGCATTAGGTATTACCTGGCATGGGTGTGCCATAAATGTTTTTTGAAAGAAATGAATCAGCCGATAATGGGTGGGAAAAGAAAGGAGAAATGTAAATGTCCAGTAGTTTCTTAGTCATTAAACAACTATTACATTGTGGAGTAGGCAGTCCCACTCTGCTTATCTCATGTAGGAGTTGTGTATTTCAAAGAAAGTGCTAATCAGGGTACCTCCCCTGTACTTTAGCATCTCAACAAGCAATGGGGGGGTTTCTCAGAACTTCTGGGACTTATTACTCCTCATGGAAATTGCAGAGCAAAATGCCAGCTCCATACTGTAGCAACCCAAGGAAGTTCATGGATTTGAGGGGAGAGGAAGCAAAGAAAGAAGGAAACCATTATTTGAGTGCTTGTGCTGGAGGCTTCAGTCTTCTTCCTACGAATTATTCCCCATAGTAATGCTGAATGTATATTATATATATAACAACTAGAGGCCTGGTGCACGAAATTTGTGAATGGGTAGGGTCCCTAGGCCTGGCTGGTGATCAGGGCCAATCTGTGGGACGACTGGTGGGGCGAATGGGGGGGAGGGAACACTGGCACCCACCTTGGGCAGCTCCTGCGTTGAGCATCTGCCCCCTGGTGGTCAGTGCACGTCATAGCGACCAGTCGTTCTGTCATTCAGTCCATTTGCATATTAGGCTTTCATTATATAGGATGTCTACTTTAGGGTGTTGTGTGGATAAGAAAGTGTTTTCAGGGCATCTTGCACATTGTGGACCCTCACTAAATGGAGACTAGTATTTCCTTTTGTCAGTGGGGAGACTGAGATTCAAACAAGTGCCTGTAATAACACTGCCAGGATTCAAGCCCTGATTGAGTTGAAGTCCTGAGCGCCTTCTCTAAACTTGTGAGCATATAGATGGTGCTCAGATAAACAAGTTATGTAGCTCTTTATAGCTTTCTGCTGGTAAAAGCATTTAGGTCCTTCTTAACATCATACCATGTTTATTATTTCGGTGTCCTATTGTTTTTCATGGCCATGAAATTACTTCAAATCTGTGTTCAAGAGCCTCATTTAAATTTAATTCCAAGTATTCTGTGAAAAGAAACAGGCCTCTAAGAAAAGAAGATATTTTCCTGGCACAAGTACTGGTTAACTGTTTACTAGTTAACAAGTAACTGGTAACAGGGGATGGGAAGGATGTTTTTCCTCTTCTCCCAAGGCATTGCTTTCCTTCTGATTGGAGAGCACGTGGGTGGGGGACTAAACACCTACAAATCTGCTCCTGATCTTGCTGGGTGAAGAAGAAGAGGAATTGGGGAGCCTAGAGGAGAGGACCCACAGAGGCAGCACTGAGCTCACAACTGACCAGGAGCACCAGAGGGGCAAAGGGACCCCTCGGATGAACTCTAGCCGTCCAAGGTGAGTGTCTACACCCCCTATGGCCTGGACAGAGAAGCCAGGGGCAAACGACTCCCAAGGTAGCTGGAAATCAGTTTTCCTGGAGTCAGAAAACAAACGCAGGGCAGGATTTCAGACGAGGAGGAGCAGCCACAAAGCTGGGCGTTCATTACTTCCTGAGTATTTCCTAGATTATTTACTAGGTGTTTACCCTACAGAGCAGGCACTATTCGTGTCCCCATTTTACAGAAGGGAAAACCAAAGTAACGAGAGGTGAAATAGCTTGTCCAAGGTCCCCCCAAGATTAACTGGGATTAACAGGCTCAGCTGGGATTGGTGAGAAAGGTACTAAATATATTTTGTGCTAATATTATTCTCAAAAAGGCAAACCTAGTTCAGGGCTTTCATGTTCGCCGTTTAACTATTTAAAACAAAAATAGGACACAAGATTTAGGGGTGCAGTCAATTTCAGATAAAGCACGGAGCACACCCGAAGAGTGTGCAAGATTTAGGGGTGCAATTTCAGATAAAGCACGGAGCACACCCGAAGAGTGTAGCGACACAGCTAAGGGACTTACTGCCATCTAGTGGCAGTCTAGGCTCATCACAGCGAGGCCGCCAAGATCACCAGGGCTCCTGGTGCAGGTGCTCGTGAAGATGGAATCTATCAGATAACACATGTATTCACTCCTGTTTGTGAAAGTTACTGCCAAATAGTGTGGCATAAGAAAACTTTGTTTTCTTGGTGCCCCCCAGCTTCCTTCCTCACCCCTGCTTCTTGGGACAGTTTGTGACTTCTTGGTTCCACACCCCAGGAAATGCTCCTTTTAGGACACACGTTACTGATGGTAATCTACTTATCTGTATCCCACAAGGTCTGTGAGCATCCTGACATGGGAGGGACTTGTCTTATTTGTCTATAATTATCCTGAGCTCCTCGCATACGGCCTGGCCCAGAGGAGGTATTCAGTAAATGTATGTTGAATGGATCGGAGTGAATGTTTGGACCCAAACTTATGATCATTCTGTCTGACTCAGACCAAGATTAAGCAGCAGTTTATTTAAATACTCTAAATAGTAAACATCTGAGAGGG